GTGGCACCAACACACATTCCTCTAACAGGGCCTCCGTGGAGAACTGTATGCCTTGTTTTTCGTCGTTGCTATTTCAGGTGATAAGGACCTTGGCTGGCAGTGAACTTACTGCAATCCCCCTGCCTCTGTCAGAGTGCTGGGAATATGTGTGAGCCAGTACACCTGGATTCAGTTTTTCCTTTCCAGGCGCCTTTTATTTCGGTACTGAGGATTGAACCCATACCCTGGTGTATTCTAGGCAAGCACAGAAGCAGTGAGCGATATCCATCTCTGTCTCAGCAGCCCTACACTCTGGTTCCATTTACCTTGCCGGGCCCTGTTTGCACTCTCTGGGCATGGAGCTTGGCTCGGACAAAGTTCTGAAAGCAGAGTTCCTATGCAGGGTGTGCCTGGGTGTGCCAAGTGGAAGGCCTTTTCTGGGGGGAGCTGTGTGTGCACAACACAAGCCCAAGTGACCTTGTCATAGAACTGTCTCCTCTCAACAGAACAGGAGGGGATTAAGACCCAAGCCATAAAGTGGGGGCAGGAAAAGCCCAATGAGCACCAGGTGGGGCTCTGGGCTGCTTAAGGTAGGGGCCTCAGCAAACAGAACTCAAACCAGAGCCCCTCCCCATTGCACTTGCTTTAAACCCCACCGTGTGCAAAGTTTGGCCTGAGGCCTCTGGATGACCCCAATCTAATTCCCACTCTCTCTGGATGGCTGAAGGCACAAAGATAAGCGGCCTCCTTGAAGCATACAGCCCCCAGGAAATCCTGCAAGAGCTAGGCTGGGAAAGGTACAGGATGTGAAGGGGAGGGAGAGGCACATAACAGGGACAGGCGATAGCACGAGTGCTTGGGAACCCAGTGAAGGGACCGTGACTTTAGGTCCTCAAAGCAAGCTAGGGCATAATAATTAAGGTAAAATCCTGACTTAATGAGCTGCTTCTGGGCTAAGGAAGCCATCGCCTGAGCGTAGGGAGGGAAGGTGCCCCTATGCCACCTTGTGCACCCTCCAGCGTGACCACTGCTCTCCCACTCGCAGCTGCACACCTTTCCTGTTCCTTTTATCCTTTCCCTTCTCTTCCCTGGTATGCCTGCTGTTTCTGGGGCCTTTGTCCCTCTTAGGAGCAGGGATCTGGGTTCCTATGGTGGTCTGGGGGACGAAGGGTGAGCTCAGGATGGTTGCCTAGGCAATGAGGAAAGTAGGACTCACACCAACTGGCAGCCAAGGGGAGAAAGAAGGGCAGAAGGTAGAGGACCTTAGCAGACCTCTCATAGGCCCAGAGCTGCTCCCACCACCTGTGGCTTGTGACTTATTCTCTGATGATGTCATTCCCAGCATTCCAAGGTACAGCACTTCCCCCAAGCATCCCATCCACCAATGAGCTGCAAAGGCAGTGGCCAAAGAGAGGCTCCAGAGGTCACGGGGGGGGGGGGGGGGGGCCTACCCTTGTGGTGACAGTGGGAAGCAAAGGGGTAGGACCCTGAGGGGCTCTTGGGCTGAGGATTTTGGAGCTATGGGGGAGGACTCCTATTTGTTTCAGACCCAGGACCCATATTGATTCTTTACTGAATATTGCTCATTAGGGTTTGTTGCCTGGTACGTGATGACACATTTTCCATTAGTGACTGACAACTGTCTTCAGACCTAAGCGAAAAGCCCAGTGTCTATAGGTAACCTCGAGGCCCAGTGGGGTAGATGCCCCAGCAGTTACAGGTCAGGGGCTGTATCTAAAGTTCTGTTTCCCACAGGAAAAACATAATATCCGCTGGAAGTTCAAGGGTGTGGGCACATGTGACCTTTACTGACATGAGCATCCGTGGGCGTGAGAACATCTGCCTACCCAGATGTCCACAACCACTATTAACCAAACTGAGGGTGTGGCCACAGTTACAGGCCAGCACTGGGACAACAGTTTCTGTTCCTTGGTTAAGGACCTTCACTGGCCTAAGATGGATTCAAGTTATGGTTGATTATGTATAATTAAGGATTTCTTAGCAGACAAGAGCCATTTCTCTAGGCCCTCTGTTTACTAATCACTAAAAATGAGAGAGAGATTTCAGCCTACTAGGCTGAAGAGATGACTCTGCAGTTAAAGAGCACGCACTGTAAATGACCCATGCTCGGTTTCTATGACCCACACAGGGCTGCTCCGCCATAAAGAGTCCATCACCCTCTTCTGGCCTCAGTGGGCACCTGCACTCACATGTATGTGCACACAGCCACACACACCGACATAATTAAAAATAGATCTAAAAGTATGTAAAAAGCGAGTAAAGGGGCCACCAGCCCCAGCACATACTACCCACTTCCAGCCCCCGGGGAAAAAATGGGGTTCCCCCTATGACTTCTTCCTCTAGAACAGACAACAGACTCTGGCCCTTTTCTGCCCGACTAAGAGTGGTTCCCTGAATGGGTGAGACTGGGTTCCTCTTCATAAAAGCCCAGAGTGGAGGTACAGGCTCCTGGTTAAGAGTGCTGAGATCACCTGGGACTGCACAGGATGACAAAGCTCTGGTTCCAGCCGTCAGCAGCTGGCTCAGGGACTCTGGAGGCACAGACAAGGCTTTGTAATAGATTCAGATGTTCAGCTGAGAATTACAGGACAGGGTGTTGCCTGAGAACCCTTGCTGGGAGCCCTCCATTTCTGAAAGCCTGTGAGGGTGTGGGTGTTTTGCCACTATAGAGGTCCTCCAGAGGCAGAGAGGCCCCCACCTCCCACACGCCAGCTGTAACCAAACACCTGCCCTCTGAAGAGGGCATCCGCTGAGGCCAGGCTTGGAGCCCACCAAGCTGCTCTTTTGTGAGCCCTTCTCTTCCAGACACAGCAGCAGGAATTCAGATGATTTGGCATTGCCATGGCAACTGCACCTCTCTAATGCTGGTGGGCACTGGGAACAGGGAGCAGGTAGTGCAGGAAAGGAGTCTACCAGCATATAAAGACGGGCAGGTGAGGATAGCTGAAGGCATGCACAAGAGGGCAGGTGCTTCCTCAAGACCCAGGACAGCCAGGTTGGTGGCACACATCTAGAATCTCACCATTCGAGACACAGAGGCAGGAAGATCTCAAGTTCCAGGTCAGCTAGGATCTCAAGCTTCCCCTCAGCATACAACAAAAGAGGCCCCAGGGAGCCCCTGGTTCTTCCCTGCCACATACAGCAGCAGTCTAGGCCAGGGTGCGGAGGAGTAGCCTGGCTCTCCAGGCTGGGGTGAAGGCCAGTACATGTCTTTCACAGATCATCTGCCGAAATTAAATCAGGCTGCTAAGCTGCTATGGAAAAAAATAACAAGAAAGTGCCCACCATAGAATGGCCTGTGTTCCAGGCCATGGAGGCAGAAACCTGGTATAGAACTGTCTGAAAGAGGATGCCAAGACATCAAGGGCCTTAGATGATAATGGGTATTCTAGAGCTAAGAGAAATCAAGAGGTAACAAAGGTAGACATCATATCTCAAACACTGCCATCAGAGGCATGAATGCAGCTCTTTCCTTGGCCCTCAACCCTCACCTTGGTCAGGGGTGAGGTGAACGTTGTTCCTTTCAGAGACAGGCTGAGAGCACAGTTTGGCCCTGCAGCCCCGGGCACTTGGCATTATTCCTCTGCTTTGGGCGAAACAAGAGGCTCATATGAGCAGTCAGGAGGTAGGGTTCTGCCTTTTTCCCCGGGCATAGTATGAGAAGTGAAGGTGGGGAAAGGACAGCCACCCCACAGCGCTGTCAGTGACACTGTCACACCTTCATAGTTAGCTTCATCATTGGGGTGTTCATCCTTGCTCCTCTGGCCATCCATAAACCTGAGTCCCCTTTCCCTAAGTATGGGCAGCCTTAAGCTCCTGCTGGCCTTCCCGGTCCTTAGCTTTGCCAGGGAGCCAAGTGTTTTTCAACAGCTGAGCAGAAGCCAGCCCCCAAAGCCTTACTTTTCTTTTTGCCCTCACAGTGGCAGTGATCCATGGCATAACCTGCCCTTCATACTTAGTACCTAAGACACTGAGGACCTTGGCTCAGCAAGGTTCCTGTCCCTTCTCTCAGCCTTGAGTTACTCCAGCGAGAAATGGGAGCGAGGCAGATGGCGAGGGAACAAGACAATTCTATTCTTTGTTCTTCCGACTGCTCCTTTAGGAGATGCTCATGGGACCCCATCCACATGTGGCCATGGGCTCGGCCCAGGGCTCTGCACACGCCTCAACATTAGGGAGGGGTCTGCAGAGGTGGGTAGGGAACGCTGCAGTGCCGCCGTGGGCCCTCTCACTTCATTCCAGTCACTGCCCTCTATAAATATTTATAGTAGCTTTTCTAATAAAAATGACATCCTGGAGCTCAGGGAACAGGTAAAAAGAAAATGTGAATTGGACCCAGTGATCACATGTGCCACAGGACCCCAGGAGACAGGATGCCCGAGCATGCCCAGGCAGTGCGCCCCTGGCTGCCAGTCCCAGCTTTGCACTCTGCACACTGCTGCCTCCCCACCGACTGGACCAGAGTTCTCTGCCCTTCTCCAGGCTGTACAACAACAGCACTGCACTGTGCGGGCGGAAGCCTCACCAGTTCAGAGAGGAAGGGGGAGCACTACTATTTTTAGCACTGAGGCCAGGGTGTGAATGTCTGCAGAACCCAGCAAGGCCTGCAGCTTTCTTTGCATAGACAGAAGAGCTGTTGGTTTTTAAAGGTCAAAGGTAGGAAAGAAACTTGTGTGCTTATACTAGGGAGAGTACCCTGTGCTGGCCAGATGCCAGGAGGAACCCCATTAGGTCAGGAACACACGCGGGCTCAGTGCTTTTTCTTTTCTTTTCCATCTCCTGGTAAATTCCTGATGCAGAGATGAGACCATGCCCTGAGGGAGGAATGCAGATGCTAGAACATGCAGGGCTACGCAAGGAGGCCCACCAGCTAGGGCCTCGGGCAGTCCCTCCCCGCTTCCCATGGGCTTGGCTCCGCTCTCGGTGGTTGAGTGAGTCTGGCAGCCTGCAAGCCCCGGTCCAGGTGTGCAGCAGAGAGGCGGGCAGGAATGTGCCTCTGGGGGAAGGCCTTCCCTTGTCTTGTCGGTGCCAGCTTGCTCCTCCGCCTCTGTGCCTGTACAAGACAGACTGTTTAGTCACAAGCACACTGGGGGTCAGGCCAAAGCTGCCAACAGCTGTGAAGCAGCAGATCTGTGTGTGTGTGTGCGTGCATGTGCGAGTGTTGGGTCTCTCAGTTCAATTGTGCTTTCTGGTGTCTTTTCTCTTTAGGTGGGATGGGGCTGGGGTGGGAGAGGATGTATGTCTTCCGAGGTCACTGCTATGTCCAGGGGTAGGAAGTGCTTTGACTGGATAAAAAACTGGGTTCCCAATGTCAGGTTTGGAAGGGGAAGATGTGTGGCAGAGGAACTGGGCTGAGAATGCAGAGGTTCTGATGGTCATGAGAGGACGGAGAGGGAGCCCAGCCTCTGGCAGCAGTGTTGGGCATTTTTCATCTGTTTCTACTGCTGGCTTCTCACAGCTCCTGACATGGGTTGGAGGCAGAGACAATAGCCGATTCTAGCCCTGCCATCAAGTTCTTGAGTGGGCTTTGGCTCCCTTGTGTACACCAAGGGAACAGGCCAGAGGGTGCCCATATAGCTCCCTCTTGCCCTAAAGACAGAGGAGACCTGGAAGGCTCCCGAAGGCCTCTGAGTCAGTTCCTGACCTCACCAACAGCATGGTGGCCTGGGCTTGCCACAGGAAGGGCCTGATCTGCATACACTGAGCAGCAGTACCCAGGTGCTGCCCACCCGAAACCAGTCCTGCAAACCAAGTGTGCAGGCTGACCTTGAAGGAAGGGTGGGGCCAGTTCAGCCCAGAGGCAGCTCTGAGAAGACACTGCTTAGAAGGGTACCTGAGAAAGTTCCTTTTCTGGTAGGTGATGTCTCGGCCCTGGACTTTTTACCCTGAAGACTGGTAACTGAAAAAGACCCCCAATTAAAAAAAAATAGGAAGCAGAGAGTAAGCTTGGTGGTACAGCTCAGGATGCAGAGGCAGCTGGATCTGTATGAGTTCGAGCACAGCCTGGTCTACATGCTGAGTTCCCAGCTAAGGCTACAAAGTGAGACCTGAAGTTGCAATAGTTGGTAGTTCAGCTGTCATCAGAATACAGATTTTAAAAAAAAGGTTGGGGGGGGGGCTTGTTGTTTAAGACTGGTTCTTTAAGACCAGAAAAGTGTCTGTCCTTTGACCCACTGGTTCTTTGCAGTCAGTGTGACTGGGTAGAGACCACATTAGGAGGCAGTGCTGAGCGACAAGATCCCAGGGGAGTTCTTGCTGTGGGGTGGCTGGTGGCTACTGAGGACAGGGGTACTGTGGCAGAGGCAGTCCAGGGAGATTACTCTCAGCTGGTGCTCTGCAACCTGCTTTAGTCTCTGCTGTTGGTAACATCAGGCCATGATATGCAATGAAAGACAGGCCACTGCCCAGAAACCCAGTAAACAGGTGCAGTGGCGGCTGCAGTGGGGGAGGAGAGGAAAAGGTGCTGTTCTTTTCCTCTTTCAAGGTTCTTTCAAGGACATTCTAATTGTAAGTCAGGCTTGCTGTGGCTTGGGACCTGTGATAGGAGGAGGAAGGAGGAAGGACACTACTCACCTGAGCTTCTTGTGTCCTGGCGGCTCCTCAGCTAACCTGCAGCAGCATAGGCAGAAACAAGACAGGTCACACTCAGGCTCTCCTCGGCTCTCTGGACTTCCCTAAGGGGGCTTTCCTGACCCATCCTGCCAGGGGCTAGACTTAAATCTCCCTTTCTGTTGTGCTTTCCTGCCAGGGATAATGGGGCAGAGGCAGGTTACCTGCAACCCACAAGTCAGCTGCCATGGAGGGTTGTGAAGAAAATCAGTAGAGGCGGGGCCACCCTAACTCTAGGGAGCAGTCATAGTGGGGGCAGAGCCTGCTTGGTTCTGAAAGGAAACAAGGTGGGAGCCGTGTTGATGGGGACAGTGTTCCTCTATGTTCTGGAACAACATGTCTATCTGGGGCCCCTCGGATGTTCCGAGGCCGTGTCAGTCCTCAGAGGTGCCACTGCTGCCCAGATATGCATCAAGGTGCCTCAGTGAATACACGAGATTGCTAGGGGGCACTCTGAAGGAAATAGAAGCTCTGGAGTCATCCAGACAAATGTGACATGCAGGGGCAGACAGTGGAGGCAACAGTGTGCCTCATTCTGTGACTCTGTTTTACACTGGGCAGGATGTTTGAGGAGGGGTCCCCACAGCTTTGCAGCACCCTTCTCTGGGATGCAGACAGCCAGGGTAGTGCAGACAGAGGTGAGAGCTAGAGGTGAATACAGGAAAGGGAAGCCTGCTTTTCAAAAGTACCCATTTGGTGCTTATGACTTGTATGCTGAACAGACCCAAGTGTGCTGGGCAGGGAAATGTCTGGATTGTGTTTATGTCACGTGACTTCACCCCAAAGAAAATAAGTCTTTCTCTGCAAGATCAGTAGTTATTGATCTTAAGTGTCCCCATACCAGAACTGCAAGGGCCCACACAATGTTGAGAGGCAAAAGAAAACTCTACTTATCTTGCACCCCAACGGTACCCTCCTGCCCTTAGAGATGGCACTTGAAAACCACAGAAACTCAGGTGTTCCCACAGAAAGCCTCCACACAGACATGCAGACCCTGGCATGTGCGCTTAGAGGCTAAGGAGAGGCTAAGAGCAAGTACCACAGTCAGACAGAAGGGTACTGACAGGGGTGACAGAGACAGAAGGGCCCTGAGCCAGGACTGGCCAAGGGAAACCACTCCAGTTCCTATGGGAGGGCTGGAGTCCATGCCAAGGCCAGAGAGGAGCGGCAGAGGCAGGGCTCTGGGCTTGCTTTGGGGAAGTGGGGTGAGACTGGGGAGGGGCCTGGAGGAGCACCTAGAGCAAAGAGGCACATGGGACTGGAGGCCAAGGCAGCAGCTGCCATGTCTTTATCAAGAATGTTCCACAGCAACACTGGAGTTTGGGGTATGGGCAAATGCCTGGGGTGGGTGGGTATTTACATGCATGGGTGTGTCTCTGCTCCTCCTGCCCCATAGCCTGGCTTATCTGGACCTGGACCTCTGAATGGCTGCTCTCCTCTGACAGACTCAAGTGTGGCCAGGCCAGCCAGTCTCACTGACTCATGCCCAGTGGTCCATTTCTCTCAGGCCTCTCATCCATACCATCCCTGAGGGACAAATGGCACTACAAAGCCACTGTTCTGAGTGCGTTCCCACCTGTTTCCCCCTGACTGCCTTCCACCTCGCACGGGGCATCTCTGCTTCACTAAGTCTCGTTGTTCTGCTTAGATTAAAGCACTGTGCTTGGAGCTGGAGACTCCTGGGGTGAATCCAGGTTCTGCCACTTATTAACCTGTCCAGTTAATAGCCTTGGAGTCTTGTCTAGAATCCTTCCCCTTTGTGGCTCTGAAGCCAAATGAAAATGGCTGTCATAGACCTATCTATAGGCTAGGAAGTAGCTAGGAGCACTGGCTCTCCTCGTCTTTCCTGTTTTCTCCCTTCACCTCCTAAGGCTGGTTGACCACTCCTTCTCACTTAATGCTATCATGTTGCCCTGTTCATTTCCTTAGACAGGTTTATTCACTGACATTACTCGTTCATTCACTGACATTACTCGAAGACAGACACCATTCTAGATGCTGGGAATACATCACCAACAACACAGGCCAAAATCTCCACCTTAGGGAGTTTATGTTCTGGAGCAATCCAGAAACAACATCTTAATAGATGAAAGACATAACTTGAGACTCTCAAGCGTCTGGAGGGTTTTGCTATCTGTTTAATATCCCACTGAAAGGCGACAATCAAGAGCATGAAGTTTGGAGTCAGAAAGACCTACTTCAAGGCCATTTATTCCCACTCAAGAGTTCATAAGAACAGACTCCCCTAGAATCTGTTTCCGCTATTACTAAAACAGAAATATTATAATCTGTGTATCTCAGTGTTAAGGATCTCATGAGATTTTACTAAAATTATTTAGTGTAGCCCTTTTCACACATGATGATTACATAAGCAGTTTCAATGCATAAGTGAGATGAAGAAGACATCACTGTCCTTTGCCAACACCTTTCTTTCTTGCTTTTATTCTTCCAGGAAGCCACCTACTCCAACCTACAAGACTTTTCAGAAAGTCTTGGTATAATTTATTATAAATTTAATGGTGGACTCTGTCTATCTATCTATCTATCTATCTATCTATCTATCTATCTATCTATCTATCCATCCACCATCTATCTACCTATGTGGCAAGGTGTCATCTAGCCCACACTGGCCTAAGGCTCACTTTGCAGAAGAGGATGAGTGCAAATCTCTGATCCCCTGTCTCCACCTGCCACATGCTGGGGCTGCAGGTGCGTGCCACCACTTCTGTGGTTTACGTGGTGCTGGGGTTCACCTTTGGGCATGCTAGGTGAGCATTCCACCAACTGAGCTACTTCCCCAGCCAGCATCCAGGACTTTCTGACCACCCCTTTCTGCTGCTTTGTTTTCTCCCCACTTCTTCTGCATCTCTCAGTCATTCTTCTCCAGTTAGACTACTGACCCCATGAACGCTGCGGGCAGGCAATGTTTGTGACGTGTTTGTGTCCCAGAGTATGAGTAGGTCACCTGACCATCCTACCTGTGGTCACACCTCAGAAGCAGTTGGGAAAACAGGCAGGAGGAACTGTGGGGGCTGCAGACTTGGGGAGGATGTGGTAGGAGAGAGGTCAGAAACAAAGGGTAAGGGAGTTAGCATCCGCTGCTCTAGAGCCTGAGTTCCCATTCAAACTAGGGGTCCTGCCTTGCATTTACTTCTGTCTTTCCCATCCTGCATCTTCTCTTCTTCCTCTGCTGTGGAAACAAGTCCAAGGAGGCCAGTGACCCTTTGGTCTAGCACCAGTGTGGGAGGCAGGTGAGTGTGCCTGAGGCAGAGACCTAAGGCAGCAAGCAGCCTCCATGGTGTAAATGTCCCTTGCCCATGCTCACCATCCCCACACTCTGGCACTGTTTGGTTGGAACCCTGCGCACACGTGAAGCAAAGGGCATGATGTTACCCACTGATGCATTTGATGATCAGGGCGGGGGTGCTGTCTGCTAGGGTTATATTCAGCAGTTTGTGTTCAATTTCAAGAAAACAATCCTGGAAGTGCACAGTGGAGGAAACCCAGATTAACATGGGCTCTGAAGTTAGGGGCCGTGTGTTCTCTCTGAATTAGAACCTTGGAAACCAGGACACCTCTCACCAGGTATGGACAAGCAGGAAAGCAGACAATCTTGTCATATTTGAGGTATTAAAAAGATTGGGTAGACTCCCCTAAAGGGGAGAAAACTTGGTAGTGACCACCCTGTCAACCCGGATATGCACTCCTAGCTAACAAAAGCCCAGGAAGCCACCTTCAAGGAAGAAGTCAGCATTTGCTATATTCCACTGAGCTATAGGATTTGTCTCTGTATTTAACAGGGTGCTGGGTCATGTGTACCTCTGTCCGTGTCAACCTATAGGCTTCTGTGGTTTGGGCCTCACAGAACCTCTGTCCTGGGAGGGGTCAGAACCCTGGCTTCATGTTTCTCTACATCCAAGCTCTAGAACCAGTTTTGCCTTTGTGCACGGTATGATCTCAGGCAAATTGCTTTTCTGAAAAATTATTTATGGCATTTCTAAACTAAGGGGAATGGATGATAGGATCGCTAATGTACTTTCTAAATGACACACTGCTAGTTTTGTCCCTCTTCCCCCCAGGTAGCCTAGGTGGGCTTTGAATTCATAAGCCTCTCAAGTATTGGGGATTGCAGGCATGCACTACCATGCCTGACTCAGTTCCTGTCAATCACGTTACATTCTCATTCTTGAGTACTGAGCTCATGAGCCACTTGTTTTGCATAAACCCTAACAAGTGGCCATGAGCACAACTGCACAGATAAAGAATGGTCCTAAAAACCCCTAAGAAATTCCCTCTAAAACTGTAAGGGAAGCCTATTAGGGAATTACATTAGAGAAAAGGCCTTCTAACCAGCTGTGAGGTCCTCCCCCACCCCACGCATGCCCAGTGAGGGGCTGGGCTTCATCTTGGGCATGGGAAATAGGGTGAGGTAGGGTAAGGGCATCATCTCTCCTGTGGCAGAATGGGCAACTGACCTGAGCTGGGAAAGCCAATCAGGATACATGTGTAAGCTCTCCTGTAGGAAAACAGACGGACTTGAGGGCGGAGGTGTGGAAAAGACAACAGCCCTAAAGGGGATGCTTTCCCTTGCTGAAAAATACGCTGGGCTCACCTCTCACAGGCGTGTCTGAATGACCCATGGAGACACTGCCCTGTGCTTTTACTCAGCAACTGTGCTAAACCGCTGCAGAGTACTTAGAAGCACTGCATGAAGGACAGAGATGGACCCTTGGTGTGAATGCTGCAGTCCTCAGGACGGCAGCCCCCATACGAATGCCAGGGCTGGAAAATAACTCCTACGCACTGAATGGCTCTATCACTGATGGACCTGAGTGGATACTTGGTGATATGGTGGCCTTTTATCCTCCCCTCCTTTCCCTAGGTTTCACGTGAGAAGAAAAGGCTGTGAAGCAGAAAACTATCGGAAGCCGCTATAGTGGCTGAGTCATGAAGAGATGGAGGAGGAAGTCAAATAGAACCGAACATGCAGAACAGAGGGAGCTGCAGCTGGGATCTTCAGGTGAGATCAGAGCCTGGTTACGGACAAAAGAAGACGAGAGTTTCAGAACAGAATCAAACAGGAGAGAGCCAAAGGGCGGTTGGAACAGACAGGTGGCTTGGTGCTGACTGCCGCCACCTCCCGTACGGCTTCAGAATGAGGTGGTGGCCAGCCTAGGGAAAGAGCCGCTGTGGACAAAGTGTAGGCAGGGACAAGGGAGTGAGGAGGGTCTGGCTGCACTGAAGAGCAGTTCCTTCAAGTTGGAACTGTGCCTGCTCCATCAGACTGTTCTTAATATAAACCGTGACCTCATGTGGGAGGGAGGCCCTGGGTGAAGATCCTGTGTGTTCCTAGAAGGGAAAATGGAGTGGGAAGAAGGGCTGTGCACCCAGTGGTGGGCCGGGGCAGGAAAGCCTGGGTGCAGAGGGGAGGAGGAGACCGGGGGGAGCTCTGGGTTTCACCTGAATGGAGCTCCTTCACCAGGGATGACATGGTGCTGGTAATGGAGTCAGCAGCCACCAGCAGGTCATTGCGGAGGTCCCTCCTCGAACCTGAGGGGTCAGAGCAGATGGCGATGCAGGTGGGTGAGCATGAGAAGAGCGCCAGCCCAGCCAGCGAGGCCCTGGAAGATGACTAGGGGAGATCGCGGTGGCTTGGTATGCTCCTAGTACATCCACTGTTTCACTTTACTGGGACAGCAGGAGCCTGTCAAGTCCATGCTTTGTAGGCACCACAGTAGAGAGTGGGGTTTCATGTTAGTTTGGCCCCAGGGTGTTCCTCAGTGTTGGGGTGAGCAGCTGAACTCCCCAACACCACTACCTCCCATTTCCCTGTCTCCATTCCCTCCCCTCAAGACTCCTTTGTCCCTTATTTAAGATTGCAGGTCCCTAGTTCCTCAGTTGGCTGTGGCAAGTGCATACTTACTGACCTTCAGCTAGGTCCTATGGAGATTGCCACTCTTCCTGTTCTTGCTTGTTTTAAGGACCTTACAGGACAAATGTGTGATCTGAGTTTATCCCATCCAATTCTTCTGGAGGAGGCAAAGCCCAAAGGGCAAGGCATTTCCTTCAGTCCAGAGCTCAGAACCCAGGATGCCAGACACGTGTGCCTGCAGACATCCCACAGAAGACCAGCCCATCACAGAGAAGGAGCCAGCGCATAACTTATTTATACTGTAAATCTGATTACTGTGGCCACACTATCTGATCATCCAAAGCCAAGAGCACAAAAGGAAAGCAGCTGGAGAAATCCTGGCAGGGAACCTGGACGCGCTTTCAGCGTCTGGAAACTCACCTTGTGCAAAGGCCTCCTGAACATCTCCCCCAACTCCACTCAGTGAGTCCTGTGGGCCGTGGGTCGGGGTGGAGCCGGCAGATGTGGAGCGCACGGGCATGGGCATAGGGCGGCCTCCTCCATGAGTGGGTGATGTGTGTGGTGACCCTGTGGCTTGAGCCTGGGAAGATCAGAGGGAAAACATGTCACCATGGAGGTCTAATCTCTCCAACAAAAGGGGAAAACACTTCCCAGGTCATGCTTTACCAAAGAAAGACTCAGGAGAGGAAGGAGGAAAGGGAGCGGGGTGGGAGGAAGAACACTGTAAGATCTAGCACTTAGGAGGCAGGAGGATAACTGGGAGTTCAAAGGCAGCCTGGACTACACAGGAAGTTGAAAGCTACAGGGTGAGAACCTGTCTCAGAAAAAAGCAAAACAAAAAGAACAGGCTGAGAAAGGAGGGGAAGAAGTGTTAGGAAGAGAGGCGGGAGCCATGCAGTGGACATGCTGGTCAGAAGAGTAGGAGGTTCCAAGAGGGAGAAAACAAACGAACATAAACATCTTCTTTGCATGTCAACATTCAGCACCCTTGCTCATCTGATTCCCCAAGAACCTGCAGGTAGAAAGTGGCCATCTTTGAATATGACTTTTATACATGAAAATAGCAAGATGATGTGACAGGCTCCTTGAGAGCGTGTGGGAGGAAGCACAGCTCAGCGGAGGGAGGTGCCAGAATAACCTCTTCCACTCCACGGGCAGCCCTTCCCCCAGGAGAGAGCCCACCCAGGCAGCTGTGCTTCTGCAGGGTCCGGTCAGCACAACTGCACTTGCCACACCCACTCGGTAGGTCTGTTTGGTTAGGCATGGGAGGTGAGAGCGGCCACACGCTCATTAGAAGCTTTCCTCATTAAAGCCTGGTATAGTTTTTTTTTGTTGTTGTTTTTTGTTTTTTTTCCTTTTCTCCAAGGTCTGATTATTTATTACTCACTTATTTTTATTTATTCATTTATTTATTTATTTTAGACAGGGTCTCTCTACAGAGCCCTGGCTGTCCTGGAACTATGCAGACCAGGCTGGCCTTGAACTTAGAGAGATCTGTCTGCCTCTGCTCCCTGACTGCTGGGATCAAAGGTGTGCACTACCACTGCTTAAAGACTTATTTTTTACTGGACTCAGACTGGTAAGTAAAAGCTCTTGGCACGGATGGCCGATGGCTCTTGGCAATTTGTTCCTGGTGTTCTTCTTTGCTTCCTTCATTCTCTCCAAAAGCTTAGCATGTCCCGCAGCCTCCAACTTGTTTAGCTAAGAATATTGTCTCTTCAGAGCAAGATGTCGGCAATTATGTTGTAGGGCACGTGGAGTGACAAGGTGCTGAATCTTGGGTGTGCTGGTCCTGGGCCTCTCACCTCCTTTGTTTAAGAACTTTATGACCACATGGTGGACATCATCTTCTTTAGAGAAACTGAAAAGTTTTCGGATTCTGCTAGCTCTTTTGGGCCCCAACCACTGAGGCACATAGTGTTTGTCAGTCCAGGAACAAAATAAGCAAGTTGAGAACATCAGACTGTCACCCATACGCTCTCCTAACAGACTGTGCCTGCTCTCTCCAGTTCTCCTTGGTCTATAACAAGAATGCCCCTTACTCAACAACAGCGCACTCTGCCGCGGGTCAGCACACCTTGCTTCATGGGGAAACCTTGTTTGTCGTCTGCACCACTGGTTCAGCCTGCATAACCCTCCCACTCCTCGCGCAGAGCACCAGCAGCTGCTCCTGCAGCCATGCGCGTCTCATAGAAAGGCTTGCGTCTACTGTCCACTTGAAGGAGTTTCTGACAGCCAGTGGCCGGGAAGGAGATATATGGCTTCATCTCGACAAGGCTGACCAACCGAGAGGTGCCATGAGAAAGAGCTGGCATAGTTTTAAAGGTAGCTTGGAACAATGGCGTGTGGCGGCTGGAAGAACTAAACCAATCAGAAGCAGATCCTTGACCCAGGGGATTAGATTGGAGGATTTTGTGGGAGCAACACCGGGAGAGTAGGAGTGACAATGAGAATGAGTTCCACTGAGTCCCCCTGGGGATCTAGTTCAGAACCGCCACACAGACAGAACGTGCCCCAAGCAGGCTGCCTGGAGGTATGCACGATGCTCCCCTCAGGGCTGCAGCCGTGTGGGTGCTGAATGGAATACTGTGTTCACTAGGATTCCTATTCTCTAGGCTTGTTCCCTGAGATACGGCCTCAACCTCAGGATTCTCCTGCTGTAGTCACATGATGGGACTTCGGGGCCATGCCACTCTGCCCTGCCTCTGTGATTCTTGCTGAACCCTGTGTGTGGGTATGTTATGTTGTGTTATTTTTTTTCAATAGGGTCTCATGTAGCCCTGGCTGGCCTTGAACTTGCTATGTAGCTGAGCCCAGCCTGGATTCCTACTCCTCCCGCCTCTACCTCCCAAATACTGGGGTTACAGGCATACCATACTACTCTGTGTCTGTTTTAATTTAAGAAATATAAAAGCTCAGAAAATGATCAAGTACAATACAATAAGTACAATGAGTAATTATGTGCAATCTAAAAACGGTACAAATAAACTGTACCTTTACTACCAATTCTTCACAGGCTCAGTCCCTTCATCTTTTCCCTTTGGAAACATCTGGTTTTTCTTACCAAAGATTTTGGTGTGGAATTTTCTAAGTTATGCGTACATATAGAACTATGGATAATACGTAACATGTTCATGCCTTTAAATTCTGCTTATCACTTAGCATACTCTCAGAGCATGATCAATAAATATGAATTTAGACTCATATTTCACACTCAAAAACAAACACTGGGTGGTAGTGGCACACGCTTTTAATCCCAACACCTGGAACGCAGAGGCAGGTGGATCTCTATGAGTTCAAGGATGGCCAGGGCTACACACACAGACAGCCTGTCTCTAAAACCCAAACAAGCAGAAGAACCTCAAAATGTGTTAGATTTAAAATTGCACAATTTCTAAAGAAACCAAAAGAAAATCCTATGCAAAGACTTCTTGGATAGAACACGCAAACCATGATATTCAAAAGAACAAAGAAAGAAACAAATTGCTTTTTTAATATGTGTGTGTGTTTGTGTGTTGCATGGAGAGTCCAGAGATCAACATTAGGTACCTTCTACAATCACCTTACTTTTTAAAAGATTTATTCATTTTTATTTTACGTGTGTGGGTGTTGTGCCTGCATATATGTGGGTCTGTGTACTATATGCCTGAGGATCAGTCAAGCCTCCTAGAACTGGAGGTACAGATAGTTGTGAGCTGCCACGTGCATATCTAGAATTGAACCCAGGTCCTCTGGAGGAGCAGCTAGTGCCTTTTGTTTTGTTTTGAGACAGGATCTCTCTGTAGACCAGGCTGGCCTTGCACTCACAGAGATCCTGCCTGCTTCTTCAAGTGCTTGGCACTATAGGTATGTACCACCAGACCCAGCACAGCCATTGCTCTGAACAGCTTGGCATTTCTCCATCTTCCACCTGGGATGGGGGTCTCTCACTGACCTCAGAGTCCACTGATTAGCTTAGTCTAGATGGCCAGCAAGCCCCAGGAACGTTCTTACTTCTGCACTCCAGTTACGGGATTTACCAATAAGCTATCTCCCCAGCCCATGATAAACTGTTTTGTTATTTTTTTTATTAAAGACTTTAAAAAATATTTATTTATTTATTATGTACAATGTTCTGTCTGCATGTACACTTGCACACCACAAGAGGGCACCAGATCTCATTGTAGATGGTTGTGAGCCACCATGTGGTTGCTGGGAATTGAACTCAGGACCTCTGGAAGAGCAGTCAGTGCTCTTAACCTCTGAGCCATCTCTCCAGCCCCTTTATTAAAGACTTCTGACAAAATATCGAGAAGAGAAGATTTTGAGTGTTCTTATCACAAGAAATTATTACCTGCTTCTAATGATAGATATAGTTAATCAATACAGTGCACATCTTAGAATAGACTGTGTAAAATTATTATCTTTTGGTTAAAAAAACAACAACACTCTTTGCTCTTCAAAATAAGTCATTAAACTCCACCTCGGCAGATCAACTAAAAACTGGATCAACAATCTAAATAAAACTAGGGGAGGCAGAGACAGGAATATCTCTGGTTTACACAGTGAATTCTAGGCCACCCAGGGCTATATAAGAAACACCCTGCCTGAATAAAGAAACAAACGAACGAACGAATGAAAGAGCTGGGTGTTGGGTCTACCAATCCCAGAGCTAGGGTTGGAGACCAGCCTCAGCTGTACAGTGGGCAACAATCAAAGACACCTGGGCTACATGAAACCCTGTTTCAGTGAACAGGCGATCAGGGCTAGAGAGACCCCTGCTACCAGAGAACTGGATTAGATTTCTGCACCTGTATCAGGTGGCTCCAAGGGAATCAAAGCCTACTTCTGGCCTCCATGGGCCCATGCACACACACTCACAAAATAATACAATAAAAATTTTAAGTGATAAACAACAAAAGAGAAAGGGTGGCACAAAGGGAGAATAGCCTTAAGATTACGTTTCTGATAAGGGACCTGCACTTAGCACATCTAAAGGGCTCTCCCAACTCAGTCATAAAGGGACAAATAATCTAATTTTAAAGTGGGCAGAAGATCAAGCAGACAATTATCTAAAGATGCAGAAGGTCCAACAGGCATGAAAAAGATACTTAATTAACCATTAAGGAAAGAAATGAACAGCCACAATGAGCTATCACTTTACACCCGTAAGGATGAACACTACAAAAAAGACAATAACAAGTGCCGACAAGAATGGAGAGAAACTGGAATCCTCAGCCACTGCCAGCAGAAATGTAAAATGGTGCAGCTGCTGTGGAAAACAGCTTGGCAGCTCCTCAAAAGGCTGAGAGTACCACATGACATGGCAACTCCACTCTGGGGTCTACACTCAACCAAGAGAAATGAAAACATGTTTGAACAAAAATTGGTGTCCAGATGTTCACAAGAACATTAACTGACACAGCCAAAGAGCAGAAACAACTCAAATGTCGACTGATGAATACTTTAACTAAAATGTGCTATACCCATACAATGGAATAGTATTAGGCAATAAAAAAGGAATGAAGGACCCATTACATCTGTCTTAGGGTTCTACTGCTATGACCAGACACCATGACCACAGCAACTCTTATAAAGGAC